AAAATACTTTATAAAATTAAAAAAGCATCATTTTGTATATCCCTTTGCCTTAAAATCTAAGTGTGGAGAATTTGGGAGATTTCTATAATATTTTCAAAGAAAATTAGGTGTGAGCTAATTTATTCACTCACTTCTCTCATTGCTATATACTTGGTCTCAATGGGTTAGCTTCTTTCCAAAGACACTACCTGAGACGAGGGAAATAAGCAAAGAATATACTGGCATGAGAATAAGATGGACATGTCTTGTTTGAATGCACTATTCAAAAATGGGTGCATCTCCAAAGTAGCTTAGAGATATAATGGAAACTAATGACCAGACAGATCATTAACTTTTAATGACAGCTGGCCAAAGAGACTCTCTGGTATTTGGAAGGGAAAATACTTGTCAACAACTCCTCCCTTATCTGAATCCTGGGATGAGGAGCAAGAAGAATGAAAACTGAGACTAGAAACAAAGGGTCTGACAGTTTGGACAGAATAAAAAAAAATGAGGGTTGGAAGGGACCTCAGAAGGTCATCTAGTCCAACCCCCTGCTCAAAGCAGGACCAGCCCCAATTAGATCATCCCAGCCAAGGCTTTCTCTACCCAGGTCTTAAAAACCTTCGAAGATGGAGATCCTACAACCTCTCTGGGTAACCTGTCCTAGCGTTTTACTACCCTCTTAGTGAGAAAGTTTTTCCTTATATCTAACCTACACTTCCCTTGCTGCAACTTGAGACCATTGCTCCTTCTTCTGTCAGCTGCCAACGTTGAGAACAGTCTAGCTCCATCCTTCTTAGACCAACCTTCAGGTAGGGTAGTTGAAGGCTGCTTTAAATCCCCCCTCAGTCCTCTCTTCTCCAGACTAAATAAGCTCAATTCCCTCAATCTCTCCTTAGAAGTCATGTACCCCTCACCATTATTGGTGCGCTTATATTAAAAAACCCTTGCTTTTCAGCAGAAGAGGATTTATCTGATGGAAAACTACTGGACAGACAAACTGTCCCCCTTACTAATCAAGCAAGGGGAAGGTTAAAGGTTAAGGAAGAGAGGTAATATGCTTAGGCTTTTCTTTTTCATTTTAACCCAATGCTACTGAACACAGTATTCCTATCAATTAATAAATAATGTATTGTTTTGAAAAGACTGTTGTGCATCACTGTAAGTATTTGCTAGTTGCACAGCTACAAATTTGGTGTACCTCCATTGTCTACTAAATTGCAAAAGGTCATGGACTCAAGACACAATTTCTAAAACAAAGCTGAGTTGCTGAAGGGAACACATTTTAGTAACATCTCAGGAGTTCCTTGCCGATTGCCTGCTTTCCCCTAATAGCCTGCCTTGTGCAAAAAAGCAGCTAGTCGGGCTGCTTCAGGGGGCAGAAAGAGCTCTTAATCCTTCCCTCCTCTCAAGAAGTACTTTTACAGAAAGGAAAACAGAGAAGAAAGAGCCCAGCAGATAAACACCCTCCCTCCCCCTGCTACTGTTAGTTATAGGACGGTACTACTCTGTCCCTTGCTCCTTTTCATTACCCACCCTGCAATATATAGCTTGGGAAGGAGGAAAAAGACTGTAACCCCAGGCCCCCAACCCCAAGGCTGAAGAAAATTAATTAAGTTCTGCTTTCAAGTGGTCTACTGAACAATTTAAAACCCTTCAGAGTTACACAATATCTGACCATAAGTTTGTTGATGAGCTAGAATGGAATGCTGGCCAACCTCATCTTATTGCAGGGGAAATGCCACATTTGGGGAAAATAAAACATTTTTTTAAGACAGAAGAGAAGGCCAAAGGTGTATAATAAATTAAATGTATTATATCAGCAGTTAGCAACCTTTTCCAGTTGGGTGCTTGGATGACTGTAGATCTTTGTGTTAAGATAGAATCCTTTCAGCTTGCATTCAAATAACTTTAGTAGACTTTTAGCTGTGTAAAGTTTACGTTGTACCAAGTTAGCATAAGTGAAACAAAGGAAAGTACTGTAAAAGGAATTGAGTCATAGATGAGAGAAACTTCTTGAAAAGACTACCCTGTTGTAGAACATCAAATCTTGACTGAGAATTCAGCACAGCAAGTTTTACCTTAACCAACAGGCTGACTCAGGAGGATCTCCTTCCTGACCATATCTATTGAAACTTCTACCAAGTAATGTTGTTAGTCTTTGTTTGAGGAGGGGGATAAAAAGGGGCTCAGTGCTCTGAGATGTACTTCTCTGGTATCCTTTGATGAAGTTCCCATCTGCAGATGTTATGAAGATCCAACACCTCTTAGCACTTAAGTCTCCAAATTTGGGTAAGATCACCCCTAGCAGGATGGCCACTTAATTTAAATTCTTAGGATCTTAAGTTGCATAGATTCTAACTTGTAAGACTGCTTATGTATGCTTGGATCATAAAAGTGTATCTAGATACGCAATCACCAACAGTACCTTAAGCTCAGCTATGAGCTTTGATGTGTTGCTACATCTTTTAGTCATCTATTTAGCCAAACTACTGACATGCTAAGGAGTTCACTTCTCCTAAGAGCAGTAAAACTTACTATAATTTTACATCTAAGTACAGGAGATTCCTCTCTCTTTCCCACAACACGCACTCAGTTCAGTGCCTGCATGGAGCAGATGTCCTGCATTACAACTGGAGTGCAACAGAAAGGACCATGCTGTCAGTAGCATGACAAATGGATGTTTCTCCACACCCTAACTAGCTGATTTTATGCACTG